TTAAACCCCACGTTGAAGAGTTGTGCCTGGGTATTTCTGCAGTGGAAGTCAAGGTATGAACATTGCCAATGCAAAAATTCAGATGAAACAGAGATTAAGCAGTACACGTAGCTTAATGCAACTAGTAATTACTAAAATAGTAATGCAACTTCATAGAGACATTATGTGAAAATAGCATTTGCACAAAGAGCTGCATAGAATCAACAGTTAATGACTTGGGTACTTTAAAAAAGACTTTAACGTGATCAGAATTAATGAAATAAAAATATTATGAAGAGATGCTAAAATGCCCTAAATAAGTACAAAGAAATGGAAGCATCATTACTTTCTTTGCAGTGTACATCAGGCTTTAGTTGAGTCCATTGCAAAGTGCAACTTACAGTGTTGATCATAGGCAAGTTTCACTAATGTTTGGGGTTTATATTTGTTTTTACTAATGAAAAATGGTAGAAAATCTAATTTCTCAATAATTATTTTTAAATCAAAAGGTCATCCTACAAGCTTTGCAAAAGAAAAAAAATTTTTGTTCGTAGTATCTCATTATTATGTAGCTATAGGCGCATGGAGACTATAAATAAATACTTAGCATTAGGTATATTTTACTAACCTGTGTCATTTAGCAGCATTGTAATGATAAAAAAAAAATCATAGTGGCAAATTGCTGGGGGCTGCAGTGTACTCCAGACAAGTATCACCACATTTTTGCTATTTTTGTAACATTTCCTTAGGCACCTCCTTGTGACAACTGTTGAAAAATGGCCCATCTAGACTAGATGGACTTTTGATGTGGCTCAATATGGCCATTCTTCTGTTTTTTTGGTTTAAAATATTGCCCATGGAAGCTGGTCAAAAGCTATAATTGTTTCATAGGACAACTTTTGATATTTACATAGAAGAGGTTGAGTAAGTATGCAAAAAGAATACTGTAACTGTATTGTCCTGTGGCTTATAGAACTTACAACACATTTACTTGGTGGATTTTGAAGTCTGAAAATGTTCTAAGATAACTTACTAGTTGTCAGAAATTACTGAAGAGCAAGAAAATCTAGCTGTTGCTGATCCAGTTTAGCATCTTTTTTCTTTTTTAAAATCAGGTTACCTCACTGATAGGTTCAAACAGAAAACTGCTATTTTCAGATTCCCTTTAAGAAGTCCCCTTTTAAATGGGATAATTCTTATAAGTTACCAGATTAAAACCCTTAATTATAATCAAAGTTCATCTGTGAAGTATAGTAAGAATTGCCTGCTGGCATAAAATGTGCTAAGAATGAAATATCCAAAACCTAATACCTGATATTTGAGGAGTCTATTGAATTCTTAATGTCATTTAATGAATCTGTTAGTGATTTAAATTCAAAGGAATTCAGGTCACCTCCTTCTGCTAGACACTGTGGAGAGAAGAAAACAAAAAATGTTCTCAGAGACAGACAGAGCATTAACACCATGTATTTTATGTGAGAAACTATTTTTGTAAACATTTTACCTTAATCTGCAGTAATATTGCTGTAAGTCTAGAAATAAGATCAGTTAAATTTTCACTTGCAACACAAAGCTGTCCTGTTGTTGAGGAATTTGCTTGCCTGACTATCTCCTGAGCCTCCTCTTCACACCTACGCCTCAGATCTGTGGGTTGGTCTGCAGGTTGGAGGCCTTGGTCAGGAGCAAGCTGCATAGATGTAATAAAAAGATAAGAAGAATTAACATCTCCTTTGCATTTGGTGTAAATGAAATGACAAATTATTTCAAAGAGGGTTCATGGTATATAGCATACAGTATTTTTTCCTCAGTTTTGTACATGCATGTCTATTTTGAAATGGTCACTGGCATCAGCAAAAGTATCTGCATTCTGGTAAAAGAAACAGGGACAAAGGTAGAAACAGAGAAGGAATCCAATATAGCTGCAAGTAGTTTCACTTCAAAGTGACCCCCACCTATTCCCCCAAAATTCTCATTTTTTTAACCTAGGTTAAGTAAAACCAACATGTACATAGAAATTTAGCAAAATCTTACCTCATAACAATACTGTTGAACTTTATGCAAAACTTTATTTAAGTCTTTGTTTAGTTGTTCTAGATCCAGGACAACAGTTGCATATCTCCTCTGAAACTCAATGCCTATTGGCACAGAATAGGATTTCTGTGGAAAAGACAAAGCATATAAAAGTTAATGCAATACTATACATTTATATCTTTTGAACTCATCAAAAGTAACTTTCACTGGCAAATAATATTGTGATATTTGAAATCTCAGTGTTTAACAGAAAAATATCAACATACAAAACATCAAAACCTAGTGTTGCTATTTAAAACTTCAAGTGACAACTGTGTAGTAACTACCATGCTTTTATTATCTTCATAAAGTGCTTCAACAACCTGTGGTGGTAAACACTACATACAACGACTATGGACCAACCTGCTTCTATCTCCAGTAGTTAGGTATGCCTTTTCTCTACTCCACCAACAGAAAACTGTCCTGTCAGTAGGACAACAGTACAGGGCAATATGGTCATGAGCACCTCTGCTGCAGGATAGGAGGCACAGTTGTCTAGTAAGTTAGTGGTCACCTAAGGATGACTTGGTGCTATGTACCTTCTGGTAACAAACAAGTAGAGGTTGTGCCAAAAAAGAAAGTTCCTACAGCTTATATATGATAACATAAGTATTTGGGTAAGCAGAGTTTTCCATAATAAATAAATACCAGAATACAATATGATTTTCTTACACTGTTTTCAGAACTGGTCTGTGACACTGTTTGGGTGATATTTACGAAACTGAAACAAGACATACAATAAATGATAACATTTCCTCCACAAATGGTCTCTTGAAAGCTAAGCTGCATGTATTTCCACTGCTGCTCAGCCACAAGTCTGAGATACAGGTACCTCATACAATCAAACCTGCAGCTCTAGATTTTACACCAAGAGATAAAGCAAATTGCAAAGTCAAGAGCTTTCATCAGGAGAATCCAGGACAAACACTCAAAATCAAAGTTTCAGTTACCAGTTCAAAGTTACTCATTAAATTTAATCACTGAAATGATCCCCAGGGATTTACAAGTCTAAATACCAAATTAATAGGGCTTTAAACTAACATCGTAACTTCAGAGTTCACTTAAGAGCAAATTGCAAACCAGCATAAATTTGACATATTTGCTGCAGCTCTGGAATGTAAGGAAAAAATAGTTACTTTAAGACCTTCTTCAGTGACTACCCTACTCCAGGTTAGCTGTGAGAGCCACAGACAATTGTGAATTTCCCATCAGAGAGGAACGGCTAAGGGTATTCTATGCAAGTGATGACAAAATAAGTGTTTCTCAGCACCAGCACTTTTTCTGATGTGGAAAAAATCCAGTATCTGGAAACACTGACAAACAGTTGAACTGGCAGACAACAGGTAGATGGCTTGCAGTAGATGGAAGCAAGGTAACATCTGTCACTGAGCCCCTATATACTTCCCTGGAATGACCAGCATCATCTTTACCTTGTCTTCATTGTAGGTCAAGTTAAAAAAATGAACTAGACATCCTTTTTATTTAGATTTGTTTATCCAAATGACTTTTAGAAAAGCTTTTACTGTTTTATGTACATGGTAACTTGCCTATAGCCTGCGACCAAGACTAATAATGCCAAGATGCTTAACTGTCCTTTAATTTAATTAATGTTAATTAATTAATTAAAATTCCTTTAATAATATTAATTTTAAACTGTCCTTTAATTAATAAACTGTCCTTTCAGAAAAATGAAATAGTTCCTCTGAAGGCATCTCTTGCCTCATGTAAATTTTTATTATTATTACTGCCAGATAATAGTGGACTACGTTCAGTACCAGTTCTGATTTTTGTCAGTTCTGTTTATTTTTATATTGGATCATTCACAAAACTACTGTTTTTATTCTGAACCGTTATGTTACAATTATCAAATCACAATTGTATGATTATCAAAGTCTGACCACTAAACTATACCTGAATGAACTCAAAGGATTCTATTTCAGTCGCGTTCAGGTATGTTATTGATGTCTGAGTGCCAGAATAAGATTCTTTTTCAAAGAAAATACATATTAAAGGAGAAACAACATATACTCAGTTTTCCAAACATAGATCGGATTACCAACGGACAAAAGAGGATCAGAAGACAGGCTAACGAATATGGCCCAGCAGAAAGGTATCATGTCCTCTATTTTTATCAGGAAAACCTTTAATAGTAAAGGAGGTTGCTTTATGATTGCAGGTTTACAAAGGCAACAACTAAAGGGAAGAACTTCAAAAGTATTTCAAAGACCTTATCTAGGCTACAACTCAGCTAAAATACATCAAATTTAACATTTCTTTCTAGACCTTTTTCTTTCATGTTGCTTCTCTGCCCTTGCAATTTTGTTATTTCCCTTGATCTTATTCCACAATACAGTTAATTTATGACTTAATAGCTGAGTGACCTTAATAAGCAAATTTTTGCCAGAGGAAGGCTACTGTAATTCCTATGCATTTCCTTAGCTATGTAAAAGTATAAATATCTCAGTTAAACCAAAAAGTTTTTAAACTTGTTTTAAGAGTTGATAATTTTTCAGTATCAGAGTTACAGGTTGCACTGGTATGTTTTAATCTTGCTTCTTTTTCCATCTATTTGGACTTTCATATGCAAAATTAAAAGACAAAACATTTGATAAATGGGAAAAAATGCAGTAACTGAAATGATAAGGTTTTGAAGAGCAGCATCACAGCACAAAAGACGAAAATTACAGACACAGGGATAGGGCAGTAGGAAGCAGAATGACAGAATGTACATGTGCACTGAAAGGACAGAGGGAAATCTTACCACTATAAAATAAATCCTTCAACATTCAAATGTTTTACATGAACAACAACAAAAAAATCAGCATTTTTTATTTCAAGAAATACAAAGCATCCTCTTCCCCTCCACAAACCCTTAGCATTCTGTGAGTACATTGTAGAGAGAACTGTTTGAATGGATGCTAGCAGAAGGTTGAGACTGATACCTTTCCACTTTCAAGTTGACTGATAGCCATGGGTGGTAGAATTTTTATAATTTTGATTTACTGATGGATGATTAGATAAAACCTAGCAAGAAAAACAATTCTTCTGCTACTAATTATGCTGTAGCTGCTTTTGTATTGTAATTTTAAACGCAGGTCAAGGGCACTCAGAGCTTATATATAAAATCTTTAAACTGAGTTACTGTTTTAGCCAGAAAGCTAAGTACCTACCACCCACAAAATAAAATAATATCCTACCATATAAACTTGTACCCAAGATTCTCACAGTACATATTATTTCCTTACTTTATGTGACAATTTACAAATACTATGTTGATGTTAACATTAGTTTCCAAAGCATGATGCTTTCAAAAGGAAATATTTGAAACAACTGATCTAAGTAATCTTTTAAAAATAATTTAAAATTTTACATTATAGAAAGAGATAAAATATAGATTTTTATCTACACTCAAGTTTTTTTATCTATTTGCATTAGCTGTTAAAGCATATCCTGTTTTAAGAACTGAAGAGAACATTCTCACCAGCTTTTCTGCTTCTGTATTCATCTCTCTCAATTGCTTGATGTGTTCCTTCTTGATCATGAGGATTTTTGATAACCTGGTCTAAAACAAAGCAACTAATTTTAGAATTAATAGGTCCTTAAGCAGTTTTGAAATGCAATAGGAATTCAATGTACAAAAATCTGTGTCTCTTCCAGAATTTTAAAATATATTTCTCATTTGCAAGTAAATAAAAATTAATTACAATTAAACAATGGATTTTCCAGATATTTTAAAAGAATTTTAAAGTACCCTAGATTGGAGAAAATGCATCAGCTAGAAATTCCCTATAGGAAGAAAATATTATTTATGGCCAGATAGAGGCTAAAGCATCAAGAATCTTTTTTTTTTTTTTTTTCAGCCTGAAGGTAAGCAAAGAGTGTTATCACCCTGTACTACAATTAATATCACTCACCTTACCAAACCTTTTGCTCACAGTTCTCAGCCTGTTCTCAGCTGTGCCCTTGACTGAGCACCAGCCCTTAGTGTACACTCTTGCAGTAAAACCTGGTATAAAGATTGGATCTATTTTATACAGAACAGCTCTGGACTTTACATTTCCTTCTTTCATAATGGGAATACCCTTTTTGTGCTGCCCCTGGGACTTAGCAGGCTGAAGTGGAAATGACTAGGAGTGCATCACTCCTAAAACTATTAAATCTCTTTAGGGGCCCAAGAGAAATCCTAGCTCAGCTACAAGCAGCAACAGTTTTAATATAAAAACAGAGCCAAGATTTCATGTTTTATAAACTGCAAAGGGGTTAGCTTCATCTTAGTAGTGAAACATGGGACTGGGAGAAATAGGGATTTCTAGTTCAATATACATCTGCTTATATATAATATCCCTTGTCGATTTCCAAGTTCAGTCTTAAAGCAGCTAGGTTTCTTGCCCTCACAACACCTAATGGAAAATTGCTTCAGGACCTCTTTCAGCTAATTATGAATCATCTTGGGATTTCCACATTAAATGCATCCCTGTTCGCTTCATAGCGATTTGTTCTGATAAAACTGTTTTTCAGCTAAATATAGGCTCTTCTTCCCTGTTTATTCACAGACAGTAAACACACTTCTTCTCCACTGTTCTTCCACTATAGTCACAATCCAAGCCTTTCCAGTCTCCTCTCCCATAAAAGGCTCTTGATCTCCTTGACTTCTGTGGCCCTTTCTGTATCTTTTTTTCCATTCACTGTCATCTTTCCCGAATGTGAGCAACAGAAAGTCTACCAGTATTCCTAATGACAGACCTGTAAACCACACCTGTAAAACAGCAGCATCAGTACTTCCCTCTTTCTACAACAAACACTCTGCCAGATGAATCTTACAATTGGATGGCAACTGCTGATCAGACATACAGAGGCAATACTTCCTAGGTTATCACTCTTCCAATTCTAGCTGCTCATTTCTATCCCTGTGTTCTTCCCCAATGCCCATGCTGAGCCAGCACTTGCATTTTTGCAGCTACATGAAGAAACCAATCAGGATAATGACAAACGATACATTCTAAAAAGGCAGGGGAAAATAAAAAAAATTAAAATTATAACTTGTGAGCTGTATTTCTCTCTGATCTGGCTTCAAACACACCACACAAATGCTCACGTTGGCAAAAAAAATGCCTAGGAGGAAGGAAAGCACTGTATACCATGTGACACTGCTGCCAGAGTTACTTGTCAAGCTCTACTGTCATCACAATCTGGCAACAGCCTAAAACACCGAAGTCATCCTCCTTGATGAAGCCATTGAGTCCCTAGCCTAATGCAGAATATATTATTTGTCCCCCAGACTTGCAAGGTGCTTGGTGCTTAACTTGTACTTTGATGCCAAGACATCTTCAAGGATGCAGGACCCTAGTTCTTCAGTTAAAGATCTTGGATTTTGTATTGATACTATTCCAAAATGTACTCCAGTGACCAAGCTGATTCTTTTTACAAGAAACCATGGCCATTCACTGTATGTAAGATGTCTAACAACTTTCTCTAATTGGTACCTCAAATAGACTTCCATTTTCGTTTGTTAGTATCATCAGTGAATACTTCAACTATGTTCAGCCCTATTTTCCTCGAGAAATTCTTGTCTAACAGCTCTATTTTCAGCATAACTCATCCTGTTTACTGTTATAATTTATAGCTTTCATTAAATTGGAAACAAGTTATTAATACAATGATTTTCCATTGAAAGAGATGGGCATACTGGTTGGGCTGTTCAATTAGATTTGTGCTTTAGATTACATTTTTTAGTCAAAAGAATATTTTTAAGAACACAGCATTTCAAAGTAAAATGTGCAATAACTTACTACAGTATATTGTAAACATTTCTGTAAGCAAAATAGGCAAAAATCTAGTATTCAGTTGTAGATTTTTTCCTCCCGCATTTAAGTTGAGAAGGTAACTCATTTTTCTACAGCTATCAGGAAGATGCTAATTTACGTTTCTGACAGTGCTGCACTGACATACTCTGTCTACTGAGCATGCAGGAACCCTGCAATCTGTTCTGTCCTGGATTGCTTCCTTCTCTCCTTTTTCCCCCCAAAACAAGCTGTAGCCAAGTGCTTGGAAAAACATCCTCCAAATTTAATACTGACTAAAATGTAAGAACATTACCTATAAAATTTGACCTGCAGCATAGTATATGAAATATTTAAAGATACATAGTGCATGTAAGCATAAACCTTTTTTACTTGTTTCTTATTGACTTTATTCTCAATGAGTATTAATTTTTGAGTTATTCTTCTCCTAATACGCATGCTTGTACACAGTAAAAACCAGAAAGAATAGCAGTCTCTGATGCAAAAATGCAAACATGTAAAAATTAATATAAAGATTTAGAAAAAGTAAAACTTATTGCAGAACTGTAGATAAAAATAGTTGTTGTGACAGTTTGTCCCAATGTTTGCTTTCAACAGCACATTCTATGCAAAGAGAATACCCCTAATACTTACTTAGCAGTGTCTGCACGTGATTTTGGCTACACTTTGTTTAGTTTCCAATTTATTTCAGAACACAAAGAACTAAGAGGCTGGGTTGAAACCTTATTCAATGTGTGATGCATTTTTTCCTGTTTTGTATGAAATAAAGTTTTCCCATAAAATTGTTTATTCATGTTATGAGAAATAATTGTCTGGCAATAGTTGTCCAGTTTTATTTGAATCAAACATTTTGTGATAATTTACTTCCTGAAAAACTATTAAATCAGAAGGAGGGCTTTTGCCTTTTTACTGTACCAATGCATAAGAAAGACTAAAACTTACTTAACGGTCTCCTTTAACATAAAAATATCTCTGTACTGCTGAAAGCAGTTTCACATATTCCACAACACCAAATATTTCAATACCATGCTTAAGCTTTGATTAAAAAAATGATGCTTAAAATGTTTGAGATGGTAAGTGTAAAAATAATGCATAATCCTTCAGTGTTTTTTTAAGCCTTGCAATTCTTTATAAAAAAAACTGGGGAAATTATTAAGTTGCTCACCTACACGTATGCCAAAAATCTGTAGCTTGACTTTGCTCAAAAGCTTTTGAAAATCTTCAAGCAAAAATACATAATAACATGGTATCTTTGTAAAATGCCAGTATTTGCAATACAAATAAGAGGCCTATACTTTTAAAACTCAGATTTCCTTATAACACATAAAAATATACCACCAATCTTGACTCAGAAATCACACACTTTCAGATTTAAAATATAGAATCAACACGTCCCAAAAGCATGGTCTGTTGTTCGGTGTGCAAGAAGCCAATCCACACACAGAGTTGAGATATTTGCTTTAATATCCAGTTCTGTGCAGAAGAGTGAGCAGGGTGGTATTCCACACAGCAAGCTCAGTTTCCCAAACACAAGTGCTACTTTTATACCCAAAAACATGAGAAAGAACTTTAACATTATTCTATCACTGGCACGCAAGATTGGTCAGCTAATTCCTTGCTTCTGTGTCAATGCTCAGGAGTTTCACTGCACATGCCCAAAGAGTAAGGGGCTTGTTGTTAGTAGGGGACCCTCTAGCCTGTGGGTGTGAATTTTTGTATGCTAATGACTCATTAATATATTAATACGGTGATTTCAATTACTCAACGTGTTTTTCCCAGAGCTCAAGGCTGTAAACAAGATTAGCTGTGGAGAGTGCTCCTGTTTATCCCTTCCATCTGTTGTTCAGGTGTCCTGCAGGCCTGTCTCAAGGCCAGGCTGGTGACTACTTGTGGGGGTGTTCTTCTCTAAGTGGAATCTGGTTTTGTTGAATTCTCACAGTTTCACTGTTATCTATGCCCTGTTTTTATTCTGCCTGTCTATTATGCTCTCTTTGAAGTGATTTTTCCCACATTTTACTAATTTTAATTGACATCAAACAGATCAACTTGACATACTGAATAGTTGTAAAGTTCAATGCACCTTAGGTACCCAGCTTCATTGATCATACTCAGTGACGGAAGAAATAGGAGGGATCACTCCAGATACAGTTTAGCAGCATAAAGACTGTATCTTTTGCATATTTCAATTTTTAACATAATTAATCTTACAGCAATGACATGTTTTTATTTTTTCTTAACTAAGCTAGATGCCAAACCACCTTTTTTAAGATTAGCTTCATACAATAAATTTCCTCTAAAAAACCTGAATAGATGATCCTGTCAAATAAAATTAATTATGTTGAATGATGGAAACATGAGTCTCACGTGAGCTACAGACACAATTTGATTCTTTTGACCAATTCCATACAATCTAAAATCTGAGAAGCATTTAGTAATATTATTTATTGCTTTTTAGTATTTTAAACACAGATAATTCCAATCTTCTTGAACAGCTTTAATTGTTCCAATAATTCAATTGCTTATCTTAAGCTAAGCCAACGTGAGCAATTACATTCTTCCATCACCCTCAAGACTAGCTTGCTTTGATGAGTTTTGGTATTCAATGAATCTCAACTTCTTAACATTACTTGCTTCTGCTCTTCTGAACTGATGTGCAAAATCACTGAGGATAATTTTTTCATCTAGAATGTATATATTTGCTTTCAGGGAAAAGAGGGATTATTTTCTTCTCCAAGAGGGTACAAAATTAGGTAACATAAAATACAATATTATACAATATATGATAATGCACATGGGAAAACGTTGCATAATGCAAAAATATTTTATTTTTTTTTAAAGAAGTCGAAAACTGTATTATGTTTGCAGGTAGGAATACCTCTTTTTTTTAGACCAAGCGGTACAGGTGGGAAAAACGAGACACGCTTTCGGAGACAAGAGGTAGCAGGGCTCATTGAAAGAGTTTTGAACTAGGTTTGAAGTGGGATGGGAATAAAACCAGGCTTACTAGAGAGGAGCCTGGGAGCAGCATGCCAGTGCCTTTGGGTCAAGGTGCTAGCAAGGTCTTGCAGTCTGTAGTAAGTGGAGGTGGGGGATGGTGATGCCTAGAACTTAACAATGTGAATGCCAGTGGTGAGTGTTTATGGATAAGAATCAAGGGGAAGGCAAATAAGGCAAATATCATGGTGGGAATTTGTTATAGACCCTGCAACCAGGATATGGAGGCTGATGAAATATTCTTTAAGCAGCTAGCAGAGGTCTCAATCGCTAGCCCTGTTCTTGTGGGGGACTTCAACTTCTCAGATGTCTGCTGGAAATATAATTCAGCAGAGGGAACAGACCTGGAGGTTCCTGGATTGTGTAGAGGAAAGCTTCCTGACACAGCTGGTGAGGGAGCCAATGAGGGAGAGTGCTCTGCTGGACCTGCTGCTTGTTAGCAGAGAAGGCCTTGACGGGGATGTAAAGGTTGGAGGTCATCTTGAACAGGGTGATCATGAAATTATCTATAGAGTTGTTCTGGTTTGGTGGGTTTTTTGGTAGTGGGGGAAGGGCCCCAGGAGTGACTCCAGTAAGATGCTCCCCCTGCTCCAAAATCAGCCAAGGAGCCCTTACAGGGACAATAGATGCACCTCAGTGATTAACATACGAAACAAGGGATATAACACCTGAGCTGAGAAGGAGGGAGGACAAGAGCTGTGCTGGTGGCCGGTGAAGAAAAGGAAGAAGGTGCCCTAGCAGAAGTTTCCCTGCAACCTTTGGGGAGATGCAGGCTGTTGCCCTGTACTTATGAGGAACGTGGTGGAACATTCCCTGAAGGCGCCAGGAAGGGTGAACTTGGCCAGTGGACTTGGATTTTGTGGCCAGAGGATTTGCTGCCAGTGGACTCTTGATTACGCAGCTTTGGAAGACCCCAGTGCCAGGGGAGGTGACTGTTCCTGGAGCAGCCCGTGACTCTGTGGGAAGCCCAGGCTGGAGCAGCTCCAGACCTCGTGGGAAGAATTCTTGAAGGAGAGGTTCGTGGAGGACTCTCTACCATGGGAGGGACCCTGTGGGGAAGCAGGGAAGGACTGTAAGGAATCCTTCTTCCTGAGGAGGAAGGAGCAGCAGGAACCACCAGCCTGTGAACTGACTCTAAACCCCATCCCCTGCCCCCCTGTGCCGCTGGGGAGAAGGAGGAGAGAAACCAGGAACAAAGTGATTTGGTCGTAGGAAGAAGGGAGGGCTGGGGTAACATATGCAAGCCCTCTCTGTGTGTTGTGTGTGTCCTGGGTGTGTTTGCTTAGTGTGAAATTAAATTATTTTTTCCTCAAGTTGAGTTTTGCCCAGGACCTTAATCAGTGAAGAACCCTCCTTGTCCTTTGTCTTGACCCATGAGCTTTGTCCTTCTCATCCAGTGAGTGGGGGAAGGGGGGGAGTTGAGTGAGCAGCCATGTGGCTGTTTCCTTTGTTGTTGTGTTGGACCCAAACCATGACAAGAGTTCTCAATTCTTGGAGAAGCAAGGTGGGGAGCCAGCAGAAGTGTCACCTTGGATTTCTGAAGGGCAGACTTTGGCCTGTTTTGGAGTATGGTTGAGAGTGTCCCTTGAGAGACCGTCCCAAAGGGCAAAAGAGCCCAGGAAGGTTGGTTATACTTCAAGGAGGAACTCTTAAAGATACAGGAGAAGGCGATCCTTGGGTCCCAAAAGATGAGCCAATGGGGAAGATGACTAGCCAGGCTAAATAGAAAGCTTTGGCTGGACCTCAGGATCAAAAGGAAAGTTTACAACGTTTGGAAAAGAGGGTTTGCAACTTTCGAGGAATACCAAGATGTAGTGAAGCTATGCAGAAGGAAAATTAGAAGGACCAAAGCTCAAGCAGAACTCAGTTTGGCCACTGTGGTTAGATAACAAAAAAAGTTTTTTTCCAGTATATCAATAGAAAAAGGAAGACTAGGGTAAACGTAGGCCCACTGATTTATGAGGTGGCACCCTAGTGGTGGAAGATAGAGCGAATACAGAGTTACTGAATGCCTTCTTTGCTTCAGTCACTAGATGTCATCTACCTTGACTTCAGCAAGGCTTTGACACTGTCTCCCATAACATCCTCATTAGGAAACTGAGGGAGTGTAGGCTAGATAACTGGACAGTGAGGTGGACTGAGAGCTGGCTGTGTGACAGAACTCAGAGGGTTGTGATCAATGGAGCACGGTTGAGTTGAAGGTCTGTAACCAGTGGCGTCCCCCACGGGTCAATACTCAGTCAGGTATTAACCTATTCATCAACCACCTGGACAAGTGGACAGAGTGTATCCTCACCAAGTTTGCTGATGATCAAATTGGGAGGGGTGACTGACACTCCAGAGGGCTGTGCTGTCAGGGCAGAGGAAGGCAACAACAAGGGCAAGTGTAGGGACCTGCACCTGGGAAGGAAGAACCCCATGCACCAATATAGGTTAGGGGTGGACCTGTTGGGAAGCAGTTCTGAGGACAAGGTTCTGGGAGTGTTGGCAGATAGTAAATTATCCATGAGCCAGCAATGTGCCCTTGTTGCCAAGAGGGCCAACGGAATCCTGGGGTGCAAAAGGAAGTGTGTGGCCAGTAGGCTGAGAGGGGTCATTCTCTCCCTCTGTTCTGCCCTGGTGAGGCCACATCTGGAATACTGTGTCCAGTTCTGGGCTCCCCAGTTCAAGAGAGACAGGGAACTACTAGAGAGAGTCCAGCGGAGGGCAACAACGATGACTTGGGGAGTGGAGCATCCCCCTCATGAGGCAAGGCTGTGAGAGATGGGACTCTTTAGCCTGGAGAAGAGAAGACTGAGGAGAGACCTTATTAATACTTATAAATATCTAATGGTGGGTGCAAGGATAATGGAGCCAGACTGTTTTCTAGTAGTTCCCAGTGACAGAATGAGGGGCAAGGGGTACAAGCTGGAACATAGGAAGTTCCATTTAAATATGAGAAAAAAGCTGTTTTACAGTGAAGGTGACAGAGCACTGGAACAGGCTGCCCAGGGAGGCTGTGGAATCTCATTCTCAAGATATTCAAGACCCACCTGGATGCAGTCCTGAGTAACGTGCTCTAGGGAATCCTGCTTTAGCAGGGGCGTTGTACTAGATGATCTCTAGAGGTTCCTTTCAACTCTGATAATTCCGTGACATAAGTGGTCTGAAGGGTAGTATATTTCAAAGCTTAAGAACAAGTGAGAAAATTAAGGGATGTGTGTGTGGAGGGAAGCACGTATAAAAACAAATAGTAACTTTTTTTTTCAAAAGTTAATATGGATATTACCATAGCTGTCATAAATCATCATTAGGTCATTTAGGTACAGAATAATTAGCAGAATAAACACAAAAGGGCAACATAACAAAATGAAGAGTTGCAGTTAACACTTACCACTTGTATGAGGAATTCTACTGGAAAGCCTCCTAGTGTTTCACTATCTGTGCCTGAAATTTTGTTTTTCCATGAAGATTGCCCTAATAAAGGATCACTGTCCTACAGAAGAAAGAACATTTAACAGCTTACTTACAGAGGTATTTAATAAATTTTTGATATTGCTGAATAACCTCAGAAAATTAATATAAAAAACTGTTTAAGGTAATAGCTTCAACATGTATCAGAAACTATTTCAATGATAAACATCACATGAAAAAAGTAACTTACTGTAATGGGAGACTGAAGTGAAGGTGTATAAGATAATCGGGGAGGGGTCATAAGGAACCTTGAAGGCCGCTGTTTCTGTCCAAAGGCAGCAATTGGCATGGTTTCATGAGGTTCGTTACTCTGTACAACAGAAAAATGAAGGATATACTTAAGCTGACAGAGTTTTTGACACATTTGTTGAAATACATACTTTATTTCTGGATTCTGGACTAGGCATGTCCATCCACGCCCCAAACCCAACAATGTTAAAATTTTAATATTTGCTTTTGGGTAGCAAGAGCTTTAAAATCACAGTCCATTGCAGGAGTTTTCAAAGTGTTAATAGCATTGCATCAAATAAAATCTGCAAGGATATTTCAAAAAATTCTATTAGCAAGTTGCAGACAAACCATGACTGAACAGGAGTTCAGCAGATCATGACAGACACTAGTTCTTAGACAAATTATGGGCCCTCAGTAGATTCAGCACTACAGAAGAGACAAATAATGTGAGGTCCTCTGAAAAGTTTGCAGCCTAAGTCAGACTGTTTGGCAGGAACAATTCCTGGAGTTCATAAATAGGTACAAGAGCCTATGAGCTAGGAAATAAGACCAAACTGTGACCAAAGTATCATCCCCATAGGTAGCTTCATTACCAAAATAAGTTTCAAAATGAGGTTCAATCATGACATAATACTTGCTTGTGACTTCCAGAGGCCTTCTCAGACTTTGACAAATGACAAAGGGACAGGCTTTCTTGAACATTTTCTGAAAATACTGCAAGGATCCTACAGTGGAATTGTCTTTGGGATATTACACAGCTCATTATATTTGTTCATATTAAACTCAGGCTATTATAACCCATAAAGGTAGGTATAGCAAATTATTCCAGCCTGACTCATTATGGTTTTGTCAAAGGGAGTTACCCTGTTCTATAAAACCATAAACAGTAGAAGCTCATTCCCCTGGAATTTCCCATGTATTATTTATGCTTGTTTCTACTTTATAACAATACCATTTACATGTAATATTTTGAATTTTCTTCTTTTTTATTAAAGCATATAATTGTAGATGTTTAAATTTATTTTAATTTTTGTTACAACTATTTAAATAATGTGTCATTAATACTTACAAGAACTTCATAATCTGGGACTGTGTGTGTTCCAAGACCTGCCCTGTCAAAAGTCACTCTGTATGTAGCATTAAGAGTGTCTACAGCATCTATTTGTCCAGTGAATAGCCCATCATGGACACCTCGCAAACGTGCTTAAATAAAAAAAGATAACAAACCAAACATTATAATATTTAGCCACTGTTGAGAAAAATAGACTTACTACATCTTTTGCAACTAACCCTTTATATATATATTTTAAAGTCCACCAATTAAATGAAAGTAAACCCAGAAAAAATAATTGTATACAACAGAAATACTACCCAAATTTTGTCAAATTTATCTTTGCCAGTCAAGTATTTCCCAAATCTAATCCTTTGCTCTACACTTAGTTCTAAATAAAACACTACTTAATACCTAATACCTTCTGACTGATATTGTAGGCAAAAGTCAATTTCCAGACGATTTTGCATACCATTTCTCTTTGCTCACTTTCACTGATGAGTGCATAGTTAGCAAAAAACACTCAAGGATAGAGGTCTATGAGAGTGAGAAGCAGTGCATGCTTGCATGCCTGCTCTTCAGCAAGAATTAAGGGCAGCATTGCTGAAAGCAATGAACAGAAGTGGCTTGAGTGGGAGATGCCATGCCTAGACTTAAAAGCATCAGGATCACAAACAGACAAGATGGAGGAATTCAAGTTTTTCTAAAATTAGACAAAACTCATGGAATGTTTTTAACAGTATTCCTTCCTCAATTTTGTGTAAGTTTTTTTCAATAAGGCAATGTCATGCAGCTACACTGCAATACCAATTCTGTACCTGTTTCAAAACATATATTTTTATATTTATAAAAATTTATATTTATTTTAACATATTAGATTAGATTTAAAACCTTCATACAGCACTCAGATCTTTGTATTTAAGCATCTCTCTCTCTATAAGATTTATTGGATATACATTAAAAAAATTACACTGTGTAAAACTTACACAGCAGAAAAATAACTATGTTTTTAAAAAAATCTTTGCAAAATACTTGGCTATTTGTTTTTAAGAAATTACCTGTAACTTTTGTTCCTATTACAAGCGGTAATGGAATGTCTTCTGGAAGATCTTTGAACTGTGAAATATCTGCAACTTTGCGCTGCTGCAAGAGTCTTATTTTCTGCCGTTTCTGTTTTAACGCTGATCTCTCTTCCTCAAAGAATGCAGAGGAACACCTACAACACAATTAGGTAAAACTATACTTAAATTCAGAACTGAGAATGAAAATACACATATGTGAAAACACATCAAATAAATAGGCATGGTTTACAAATCACTGACAGAAAATGAAAAAGTTTGCAGTGAAGTTTGACGAGGATTCTGTTGAACAGATTTAGACAGTCTTACTCCCCAGAATTATTACTCCTAAAAGTAACAGTATATTTGAAAATACTGGTCAGGAATGCTAGCTGTTTGCATTAGATTAGAAAAGTACAACTTTTTAAGACTTTTTCTGCTTGTAGGAATCCACCTGGTGTCACAAGAAAGCTAAAGCAGGTCCTACATTCAGTCTACTCTGAGCATCAGTTCAATGCATGTAAGAATTACTTCCTGTAAGGTCCCTGGCTGCCATCACTTACTGATACATATAGTAGATCCCTTTCATATGTGCTCACTAGGCTCAATTAACTTCATATGAAAGGACACCAGTCTAGGAACATAGAAGTGCACTTCACTGTCTCTCGCACTCTGCACAGGTGCAAGCAAAACTCAACCACAACATCTCTATTCTGCAGATTAATTGTTCTGAGACTGATCATAGCAGAAGTATAAACTTGTTTGAACTTGAGCTACTGTGTAAAAATCAGATAAACTAGGTAATCTCTAGTGGTCCTCTCTCCCATTTTGGACAGGTGTGTGTGGGACTAGATGATCTTTAAGGTCCCTTCCAACCCTAGTCATTCTCTGATTCTATAAAAAACATGCCTGCAAGGCCCTTACTTGGTTTTCTTAATTTTTTCACTTTTAATCTACTGAATAGACATCATACATAAGGGAGATACTGAAAGCATAAAGACACTAAGGGATCAATCCCATGTCTCATTCCTTGTTTTAAAAAAAAGTTTCATCATTGTGTCAATGCAAGAAGTAATTTTAAAAAGGAGTACAGATGCTGTTGTAGGTGTGCTTAAAGTGCAGCAGCAGCTATTTATCAAACAATTTACTACCTTTGTTAATTGCTTTGCTGCAGTCAAATGCAATTTATATTTTTCTGTGAAACTCATATATATTGATTACTGATCAAGAAAAAATACTATTTTATGAGGTTATTTTAGAAGACACTGACAGCTCCCCCACCGGTTCCCCCTTCCATACTGCACATTATTTTCTATTTTAAATGCCTTCAAGATCTTCCTCAGTTGTTTACCAGGACTGAGCAGTCAGCTCCTTTATCCAAGGTGGCTTCTACTATTCTCTTACTGTATGCCAAAATAAATATTATCATATTTTCTCCTTTATACCCACCACTTAAGAGGGTTCCACAAAGCCATTTCACTATTCTCCAAAACTTCCCTTTCTTGCAACGTGTGTGAGAAGATCATCAAAAACTAAACTTCCAGGGTGCTGAGACCACTTTCATACTTAAGAGCAGTTTCACGCTTGCTTCTCTATATGCATACATCATTTGCCTTTTATTTTATACAGGGTTCCTAAGTTATATGGGGCACAGAGCATCTGTTTTGTCTAGTGTTTACAGTGTAAACATAATGAGATCTTAGTCCTAAGCAAGACATTAAAAAAATAAAGAAAAAAGAATGAACTGAAGCTGCAATGAACTTTAGTCAGGTGTGTTAAGTAAGGCACTGCACTGAGAGTTCCTTTACTTCCAGTCACTATCACCACAGAGGTTGTCACTATTCTTAGAAACTGTACCGTAGGTGTGTTTCCCATTCACCAGCTTACCACTGAAGAGCAGAATGTGTTTACCTGGTGTTGTGCATTGCCTAATGATCCTCCTTACAAATTTAAAATATCTGGAAAGGGATATGGCAGAGAAATAGAGACGGTGGTTGGAAGACTTACGCAAAGCTTATTTGGATAGTCTCATTTTAATATGTCATTTGCTTTGTATTTACTACTGGGGAGGAAAAAGTGTTAAATAATGCTTGCTACTGGATATGAACGTGAAGTAACAAAATAGAGGTCAGAGGTTTTCAATTTCATTAAGGTGAACAGAGTGACTAATCACAGCAAGTCAGAAAAATAAATTTTAAAAAAGGCAATATAAGCTTGAATAATAGTTCTGATCACGTCCAAGGTCTGGCATCAGAAACATCAGATATTGCCTGATGTTCTTTGACCTGTGCTCTTAGAAAAACAAATTCAAATGCTAGTATACTAATCACTGACCTTGGAGGTCACTACAACAGCAGTTACTGTTTTATTACTAGCTCAGATGTCCTTAAAAGAGAGTCTCAGATCCAAATCCTGTAGGTCATGGAGGCAGAAAGTGTTAGCAATGTGTTTCTAACTTAGAGCAATTCTCCAACCCCATGCCCCCCAAATGTATTTAATCAAGGTCATCCCATCTTCATGCCATTTCTATGAAAAAATTAAGAGGAAAACTATGGTACAGATCACATTGCAACCTCATTACTTTTCTATATAGGCTTTTTAAGGGATTGAACATTCTTTTCAGTTTCTACCTCAGACACGAGAATTTGAACTAATAGAGGAATCAACACCATCATGTAGATGTAGGACAAGCATATCGGAGCTTAATTCATATCCATTGCTATTTCACAACCCCAATGAAATTTATACAGACTTTATACAGACCCCATTTAGACTTGGGGTTACTTAGGCATGAGTCTCTCTTTTGTGAAACACTAACTATATGGCAGCTTAACAAAAAAACAAAACACCACCACCCATCCTCCTCCTCCAAAACAAAACACCACAAAAAAAAACCAACCCAACCCCAAAGATTAAAAAAGGAAATTGTAACAATGGTCCAACAGACTGCTGCATAAGGCATCTCAGAGATGAGTTCCTCCCTGAGGTTTCTCTTCTGTAAGCTAAGTTGTATAGGCAGTCTGTAAAAAGACTGAACTGAATCAGTGGATTTAAAGAATTTAGAGAAAAACTAGACCCTTCATGAAATTTGAATTCTTCTGTACAATGTGTAATATTTTATAGCTGACTTTTTCCTCTCTGTTTTGGGAGCCAAGCCAGGGAAAGTTAAGGATCTCTAAAATGGTTTAAAAAAGAATAAATAAGATGGAAACGTGCGCTTGTTTTGCCCATGACGAGCTCAGTTACAGCCAGAAAAAAATCTTCCTGAAAAATTTGCCTTGCATGTCAGAAAGCACTGCAGCACAGAGGATACATACCCTAATTCGGATACTCTGTTATCTGAAGTGGGAAGAGAACATTTCAAGTATAGGCTCATGAGAACTACATGGACTGAACAGTTGCATATAAGGAATAGGGTGTGTGGGGGAGCAAGATGTGTGCTCAGAGAACACCTTTTCAATAAAATGTTTTTCTACTCTCAGCTATTATTTTCCTTTACTATCTGCATGCTGCACACTGAATTATTCTAGAAGTAAGTTCCAGTAACATCAAAACCACATGTAGTTACTAGTTGAAAAGTAAAAAGAAAATTACCTCCGTGGTTTTCCCATTAACCGTCTGATTTTCCCCCACTCTACTCTTGTCAATTTTCTGGTTTTCAAATTTGGAAAAGATTCCTTCAGACATATACAGAAGTCATTATCGCCTTCAAATAGTGGTCTGTTGAAACATAATTGGTTCTCTGTTAAGTACTCTTAGTAAACCACAGTCACAAGATTCCAAAAAACATCCATTACAAGAAATACATTGAAAATAAAAAGTATAATTTAGTTATATAAACCAGACAGTCCTATTCCAATTACAAATTTAACCTGAAATAACTGAAAACAAAGACAGAAAGTTTCCAGGACTAGTGTTCTCTTTGAGCCTTACTGTCAGGGATGTTTCAGCTGTTCCTCTCGGTTGTTACTACAGGGAAACATCTGAATTCATCCTGCTCACCTGTGGAGGCAGGTAACAAGTGGTGTCCCTCCAGGGTCAGTACTGGGACCAGTGCTGTTCAACATCTTTGCTGGAGACATGGACAGTGAGATTGAATGTATCCTCAGCAAATTTGCTGATGATACCAAGCTGTGTGGTGTGGTTGACACCTTAGAAGGAAGGGATGCCATTCCGAGGGACCTTGACAGGCTGGAGAGGTGGGCCAGTGCCAACCTCATGAAGTTCAACAAGGCCAAGTAGAAGGTCCTGCACCTGATTCAGTGCAACCCCAGGCATGAATACAGGCTGGGGGAAGAATGGCTGGAGAGCAGTCCTGAGGAGAAGGATTTGGAAGTGGTAGTTGATGAGAAGCTTGACATGAGCCACCAGTGTGTGCTGGAGCCCAGAGAGCAACTGCATCCTGGGCTGCATCAAAAAAAGTGTGGCCAGCAGGGCCAGGGAGGTAACTCTGCCCCTTTGCTCTGGTCAGACTGCACATGGAATACTGGGTACAGTTCTGGTGCCCTCAGCACAAGAAAAATATAGACCTGTTGGAAAGGGCCCAGAGAAGGGCCACCAAGATGATCAAGGGCCCAGAGCACCTCTGCTATGAAGACAGGCTGAGAGAGTTGGGGCTGTTCAGCCTGGAGGAGAGAAGGCTCCCGGGAGACCTTATAGCAGCCTTCCAGTGCTTGAAGGGGGCCTACAGGAAAGCTGGGGAGGGGCTTTTCATCAGAGAAGACAGTGATAGGACAAGGGGTAATGGTTTTAAACTGAGAGAGGAGATATTTAGATTGGATATTAGGAAGAAATTCTTTACTCTAACAGTGGTGAGGAACTGGAATGGGTTGCCCAGGGAGGTTGTTGATGCCCTATCCCTGGAGGTTTTTAAGGTCAGGTTGGATGAGGTTTTGTGCAACCTGATCTAGTGGTAGGGTTTCCTGCTCATGGCAGGGGGTTTGTAACTTGATGATCTTTCAGGTCACTTCCCACCTTAATGATTCTATGATTCTAAAAAGGAAGGGACAATATGATACTGAGAAATAGACAGTACCTTTTTACTAAATTCATTCAATTACAACCCAGATTCTCAACAGAGGGTTCTAAAACACAGGAATTAGAGCCAACTTGTCATTCCCTACAACTATACATGTGAGACTTTTGTTATACCATACCATGAGTCCACTACAAAGCAGATGAGTATTATAGAAGTGACAGTTCAGAGAACCTATGAACTTAGAAATTTCTCTTTGATTCTGCAACCTGTCTGTATCTCTTTATCACTGCCTTTTACTTTGTAGTACTACATCCTTCTTGGGCTGAAGAGACAAGGGAGCAGCAATAGATATACCCATCTGATGGCAGGTTAATCATTAAAGACTATATGCAATTGAAAGAGATCTAGACTGGTGAGAACAACGAATTACTGCATCCTAGATAAAGCAACTTTTTTCCACTCTCGGCAGGGTGCAGAGGTTTAGAGAGGAATATCCCCAAACACAGAACAAAGAGGATCTTGGAAGCAACACTGCTTTCAAATATAGAGGGTGGTGGGAAAGAGGGAAGGTGCATAGAAATAAGGAGACTCAGGCCAGAATGGACGTTTTTACAGTAGAAAGGTCTGCAGCTGTGGCATAAAGTTGCTGCTAAGCAGGCAAACTGTAAACCCACAGCATCCACAGAACTGAAAGCACTGGGAAATGGTGTAAGCAAGCTACAGCTACATCTGTTTCTGAGGGCCTACGATCACTGTAAAGTAGCTCTGTAGAAGTCTCTGTGTGTCAGAACTCAATGGGATTTTACAGTAAACAGCAGCATAGAGAGAATCCAACTGTAACAGCTTCAATAACCACAGATGGTGGTTGTAGAGATTAAAATATTTCAGAAACTTATAGTTGACATGGCATTTAAATTGATTATTTAAATTTCAGATGAGACAATTTGATTAAAATGTGTTGTACTATGAGCTATATCTTAGCAGTGGACAGTTGGCTCTATGCTTTAAAATCCTTTAAGCTTCTCATTAAGTCTAGATCATATCACTCAAAACAAAATAAAAATGTTTCTTTCAAGGATACATAGTTTCTTAGCAAAATGTTATATCTTAACATGATCATATCTTACTAATGTTACAAGCATACACTGACAACTATCAAAGTTTTTCAGAATAACCTGATGAAGTAGAATTCTAGTCTACTGATAAGACTTACAGTTCCTCAGACAATTATTTGAGAGAATACACTAGAAGTTCTAAAAATCATAATTATAAATGTCACATATTAAAATCACCACTAGGAATAATTAGTGTTTGGGTTCTTTGCTTTTGATTTTTTTTTCTTTGTGATTTGTTTTGTGTTTTTTTTAAATAAAGGGAGGAAGAATGGAAAGACTACTTCTTTCAAAGGAATTAAATCCTACAGATGATGAATTTCAAACTAACAAAAACGGACGTGTAATTTTTCTACTTGTGATGAACATATCCTAAAATGTTTTTCTGTTTCTATGAGTGCCTTCTCAGTCAAGTAAAAAACCCACAGTAATCATTATTAAAACAGGAAGGAAAAACAGTAATTATTTTGTTATTAATAACTTCTGGAGAAGAATGCTTGTCAACTCTGAAGCTGTTCTTTAGAATGTTAAGTAGTAGTGTTCCATGTATTATCTAGTCTGTGTAGATTTTAAGTTTCCATTAATCAATAATGATTTTTCCATTTTAGAATTTTTACTTTTTCATTATTAGGGACTAAATGTAAATGGTTATTTTAAAGAATTCACACCATGTTGCTAGTGGTGTTAAGAGAACAAATGCCAGACTCTGAGACACGATTTGCAGAAATGGTCTAGGAGACAAATTAGGAGATCCAAGGACGCTAGTATCTAGACAACAGCTGAATAAGTCACAACCAGGAGCTCTAGTAGTGATCACAATAAAAACAGGATGATGGGGAAGAAAAACCTGAAATCAACATTTACACCTTTTAGGAAAGCAGCACCTTATGAAATAGCAGTCTCCTTCCCCTCCCCATGTCTAAAACCAACTCAAGGATTCAAAAAATCTATGTGTTCTGATAACTTCATGATTTAGGGACTAAACACATTATGAATAACATCTTGTATTTGGTAGAGGCAGAGGTGATAAAAATATAATTATTTCCATGAAGAAAAGCGTTCCACAGAAGACTACCCAAGGAACTAGCAAAGTAGGTTGCTCATTATAAAAAAAGAACGCCCACCCCCAACAATGAATAATTTTTGATAACTAATAATTTAAGAATAAACTTTGGAGCTCAAATTCAGAGAATGACTTATTTCTATAAAAATAAGAGATAATTATGTAAAACAAACATACTTATCTATATTTGAATAGAACCATTCGTATATGCACCACTTGTGAGCTTTGGGAAGTTTGAGCAGGTTACGAAGCCGTAAACCAATCTTCTGTGATACTTTCTTGTCTGGTGTTGACATTGTTGCATTAAACTTCTATGTAATAAAATAAAGGAAAACAGTTAAACACAGTCTAATATTCTTCAATAATCAAATAATTAAACTAGATTTTATTGACAAAAGTTTGCACATCAATAATTGTTACATTTTAATTGCACATACTGTTTCATGACAATTTTTTTGTTGCAGATCAATAATAATCCTTATTGCACTATATCAGCAATACAATCAAACAGATGGCGAACTTTAGGAGGATCGATACAACAAACTATCTATACGAAGCTCTTCTAACAGAAACATTTTCCAATACCGAAACTATTGAAACAACAACAGCATGGCACTAAAGTAAACACAGACTTGAAATGTTTGAGGCACCACTGAACACTGCCTCAAGTGAGCACATGTGATGTCGTGGCTCAGATACCACAGCCACAAGCACCAACTGCCTCATTGGCACTAGTGCTTCTACTCTTGATAACTCTTTTTCAACTGAGGATGAAGCTAGCACAGGAACATCATACAGTCAAAGCTTTGAGCAGAGTGTCTACTTTTTATAAAACTGCAGGCATAACCAGTGTGGACATAGGCAGTCAAGTTTTAACTATATATGAAAACTATTTTATAAATTGCAGAAAAGACAATGTTTTAGATTGCATGCATAATACACAGACCTGTGTTTAAACGAGACAGTAGAAAAAATAACTGTGCAATTGTTTTCCAGGGACAGTTCTCTTAACTACCAGAAAGGAAAAACTTATTCTCAAAAAGCTGTTCTTTTTCTTGCAAATATTAGTTTAACTGGGTCCCCATACCATAATCAGTTGTTACCCTTTCTCAAATGCTCAAAAATATTTTGACCTTTAGTAGCAGCAATAATAAAGCATAAGGTAGGCTCCTTGCTGGCTCCTGCGGGACTTAATCACTACTTCCTTGATACAGTTCCCCTTTATCCCGCTGGAACTCTAGAAAAAGAAAAGCTTAGGCGGCCAGCAAAACCTGTGAGATACTGCATCTGTAGTCCCTCACAAATGTTTATCTAGCAATCAGTGGACCTCCTGAACCAGACACTTAAGTACAAACCAACTGGGCAAACATTATCTATGCCTATCTACTCTTAAGAAATCATGGCAATGAATAGAGAGAAATGTCATGGTCCTAATCTCTGACAAAACAGACTCAGCAAAATGGCAACTTCCCCATTCAACACTGCACAGTGAAGTTCTAAAGGCAAATAAGACCAGTATTCCAATAGTACTTTTTCAGCATGACAAATTCAGGCTTGTAAGGTGATAGTACAGAGAAGTGATTTGGATGACAAAAGTATTGGAGAGCCAATTTTTTGAGATTAAGAGATGTTGCCCTAACATAGAAAATAAAGGCTGAGAGAAATTACAGTTGGCCTTTCATGCTACATCAAGGTGCAGACAGTCAAGCGGAATAGAAAAACCAGCTATTTGAACTGGAGGACAATCTTTACAGGATCAAGAAGGTATAGATGGCCATGAATACACTTAGACTACAAATCTAAAACAAGTTCCTGTTAGAATACATTAAGTTGTATAACAGTCTTTTAAATTTTGTAGTCAGTGCAAGAAAGCTAGCCAGTTTTTAACTGAATTTGGGCAGACTACAGGATACGATGGTTTGTGAGAGCAACGTGGGCAATCAGTCTGGAATCCTTTCTCGCTCTGTATGCTTATGTCCAGAATAGAAAAGAAGAGATACTCCTATAAACAAACTGAAGAATCCAGTTTGTGAGGCAGAGAAATTGTCTGTTTTGAATTGTGGCTTACTCCTAGAAACAGCTTTCCTCACAAGAATATTCATAAACTGATAATGCAACTTGAAAAGCAAAAGTATTCTAATTTTCAGCTAATATAGATAGGCTTGATCCTCTTTTTTCTAAAAATATCTGCATCTATGTAGGTAGGTACCTGTGGAACCATCGCAACCTTCTGATTTCTTTTGGGTGACCTTGTGCTTATTTGTCTGTTGTCATCTTCACAGAAGAGTCGACTCCGTTTTGAATTTCTGAAGGGCTGCATGTATCAAAATTAAGAATGAATTACAAGAAAAAAAAAGTCTGATTTCTCATTTCATGCATAGAATTCACAGTGAGAGAAATGTAATGCCTTTTTTCTTGCGACCTTGGTTTTAAGGCACATGGTACACAATAAATAGAGTCTCCTAGCAGTCAGAGAGCTAAGGGCTGAGATAAGAGAAGAAGGAATTTAGGATTCTATGCTTTCCAGTGCTAACTATAACCCATTACTATACTGCTGGCCCAGTTCCACATAAGTATTTAGAAGCTAATTCCCACTTGTTTCCAGAAGAGTTAGGTGTCTAAACACTTGTGCATCTAAGCCTAAAATAGTCCTTGCTTTGGCTATGGGCACATCTGTTAAACTATTCTCAATTTTGAATAAAAAAGTTTATTCAAACAGCGTATTTGTTTTGGTATGTTCTCAGTAAAAACATTGACTGGATATGAAATTTTGGCAAAGATTTCTTATGAGTCTAATAAAGTAGTGTGGGCTTGTTGCTTCTTTAACTCCTTGAAAGTGCCTACACTGCAAAATCCTAAGAAGACGAAGTCTAAAGAAACTAAAGCTTGAGTAAATTATGTGAAAATAGCAGAAAATAATTTAGAATTTATGCTAACTAAAAATTACTTATGGGCTAAGATCTTATACCTCAAAGAATTAGAAGGCTGATTGAAAACAAGAAAGCAAATTGCAAATATGCATAACGAAAAAAAATACTTCCATTTAGTTATTCTTCAGCATTTTACCCTATGATAAAAGCTTGAGAGCAAGCAGCTTTTCTTTCCATTAAGATTTTGTGGCCCAGATACAAGAACCATCCACAACTGAAATGTGATTCCTTTTCTAGAATTCCAAGACTGCATCCTGCAACATTCCTTCTACTTCAAACTATTTACAAAGATGATAAGTGCAGAAATAAATGCAGATTTCAATTCTTTCAGTAGAGATTGTGCAAGTGCTACAAATTGATATGGATATGAAATCTATAACACTCATAATGTGAAGAATATTGAGGACAAAGATAAGCCCTTAATAAGTGTCAGAAAGAAAGTAAATCAACAAAGTGAAATAAAACTTCACTAATAAGCAGTCACACTTAAGAAAGACATTTAATAAGTCTGTGACCGATTAGAGCAGCTGCTTGAAAAATGATTAGTGCTGGCAAAAAAAAAAAAATCAGTCTGTCACATGACATGAGAATAGCTGGAGCTTTCCCAGGGAAATGTGCCTTTCTTACTCTGAATTATATATATTCTATAATTATACAGGTGTATTTAGGTAACAGTACTGCCCTGTATGTGCTAAAAATCTAAGCACATTCAGCACACAGAACGTCCATTCCTTGTAGATGTTACAAAGCAGGATAAAGATACAGACTGAATAGAGGAACCATATATTGGTAAGGTAACCAGATGGTGCCCAAATCATATTAACACAGTAATTGGTTTATAATATTAACTGTTATGGATGTTGGTTTTTTTCTCTTTGCATCTTCCAAATCACTAAACCTTAAGAACAATCTTAAATTTCAATTACAATGCCTTTCTGTTCTCTTACAACATCTCTGCCATCCTTGACAAATCATCACTCTAGAAAACAAAGGTGAGAACTATTCTAACTTTTGAGCAAGAAAACATATCCACAGTCCTGTTCCAACAATAAAAACCTCTTACATCGCAGAACTCCAGAACTTTGTAATCACAACATTCTGCCCACAGGATGAAGCACCAGGTTCCTATTGAATATTTGCAATATTTTAGTCTTGACATTTGAGTTGCTGGTTCCAGAACATTTTTCTCCCAAACATCTATACAGCTCTTCTTGATTTTCAGACACTACACCAGATGAGAAGCATGTCCCATCGCAGGGACCCAAATGCTAAAACAATCCAGACAAAACTTAAGGGTGCGTTCCACCTTATACCAAGGCTATGATCCAGATCAAGAGAACTGTTTACAACCCTCAACACGAGCTCCTAGATTCTGTTCCAAGTCACTATTCTAAATGACACAAGTGTTTAATCTCTCTGGATTGCCAGTGCCTCAATCAAGAATAAAATAACAAGTCTTGCAAAAAGGTATAATCCATGCTAGCTAAATAGGTCAAGGTGTTTTTGGGAAGATTATTCAACAAACAGTACAATGTATCTGCAAAACTTCCAGTGTTCAGGGAACTCAAACTAGTACAGAAGACTACATCACATCTCAGCAACATGAGCCACTGCTAACACATCAGACTCTACTTTGATCTTTCTCCCAGCTTTCTACAGCATACTGAGATACATTCCAAGTCCTTATTTTTAATACCTACAGCCAGAATAACTAAAGATTGAGAAAGTTTTCTTAGAAATGTTATGGCTAGTAACTTCAGTTCTTTAGCACATGTGATCTTCCAAGTTACAAGCAAGGTTTGCTTCTGTCAGAAGATGAGAAATCCTGTGTGGAAAAGCTGAAAACTGTGGCGTGAACTCTGGCAGGAACCAAGGGCCACCACAAAGTCCTGGTCACTGTCTGGAACTACATTTTGTAGAGCTTACATTCTGCAGCATAAACACATAGCAACATGTGTGCATATATACCTGCATGAATCTCACCAAAATGAATACCTTCTCTAAGTTTCTCTCTAAATGTAGATATCACAGAACAAGCTACTTTTGATAGATGTTAGCTACATTGCTTAATGCACTACTGGATGCCACTCAGATATTTTTATTATGTGCAGAGCAAGAAGTGTGGTAAGTTTTCAAGCATAATGCTTCCCTTCAAATAAACAGTTCACAAAAAATAATGAGGTGAATAAAATCAGGTTGGTGTCCTAGCCTGAGCCAAGATGAAGCCTACTTTCCTTTTACTGATTTTTTTTTTTTTTTCTTCAGTGAACTCCTTTTAAGCAGCACACAAGATTTTCAGCTAGTGGACTGATAATGCCTGGATGTTTATAGTTAGTGCTGAGAGACCAAGGACATTTTCCTCTGTTTGTTCAATCTGGTGTTTTGGATATTAAAGGAACAGAAAAGTCATATCTGCAACCCTCCCATAGGGAAGAGTAGACTAAACAGACAGAAAAACCAGCCAGAGATACTCCATCCCATTGAATTGAGGGATCATGGAAATCAAGCCCCTTCCTTTTTTGTTTTCCCTTCACTTCCATCCATGGCCAGCATCCAGGAAGGACTCCATTCATCCATCACTGTTGATCCCCAGTCCTGTGCATTCCTGATCCTCACAACTCTCCCCTCAGCTCCTGTCTGCTCTGCTGCTCTCTCCAGCAGCTCTGGGACATTTCAGAACCGCTCACAACCCAGAAGATGTCGTGGGAGTTGCTGGGGGTAGGGGAGGCAACAGTGTTTTGCACATTCCTGAACACATTTTTGTAAAATTGTACATATTTTCTTTATCATTAGGATTTAATTAAAGGTGTCTAGTTTAGTTTTCAATTTGGGAAGTCCCTGTCTTAATTCTCTCTCTCCTTTTCCTACATGGGTGGGAGTTGTTGTCATTGGTTTAATTTTGGTCACAATTACGGTGGCCCCAAAAGAGTACAGGTGAAAGATTTGTCTAACAATTGAGACAAGTATTTCATATTCTCTCCAGGGTGTAGTCAAGAGAGCACATGGTATTACAGATACAGACAAACAAGGTACTGGGTACAGTATAGCTGGTGGCAAAATCAAACAAAAAAAAAAATCACATAATTCAGTAGGGTAGACAACGTTGACAATAATTGAGAAATGCTCAAATGTGATACAAAGGGAAAATAAACAACTATGAATATTTCAAAGAGAGGAATAGTCAACTCAAATGCTAGACACATGGCCTTGGAGGCTGCAGGATCATCAGCTTTCATTTACCCACCCCAAGGCTGCTCTTTAATATAAGGTCTCCTGTGAGACCTCTCAGAATACTACATGACACTGACATTCCTTTATTTTTATTAAAATCTGTCCTGCAGAAGGCAGCACTTGCTTTACGAAAAAGAGAAAATTATTATAAGCTATCTTGAACAAGGTCATCAATGTAATTTGTTTGATTATTCACTTGTTAAATACATTTTAACCTCTTATTCAAATAGCGCAGACCACTTGTAAAGGACAAAGTTTAACATTTGGAAGCTATGAAACTATAAATCTCAGCCAAATTTTTTGCTCCTTAGATTTATGGTATTTTACCAAACATGAAGTTGTCTTTTTATTCCTTCTTACCATTTCCACTGCAGAACCAGCATTCTTGCTTTTCCAAAGGGGTGCTTTCTGCAGAGGATTATACTTTTCATTCCACGAACTGGATAAACTTCCCTCTGTTGTAAAGGAATAATGTAATTAGTATACATACACATAAATGTATGCTTTAACATAGCTACTATCCAAAGCTAGTATAATGTCATCAACTACTAATACATTTTTGTTATTTGCAACATCATTTTTGAGTTCAACTACAAGGGGATTTTAATTTAAATATTTTTCTTAAATGGTTCTGAACTCCAATTAAAAAAATTGAAAGAGATATTCAGTACAAGGAGAAACATGAACAAAATGGTTTTTACTTCTGACAACATTTAGATTTCTTGAAACCTCCTGTGGTCCAATCAGTTACTTCTACTTCTAGGTTGACACACAGCTAGATAACTGTACTGTGGCTGTAACTGAAACTTGGAGAAGATAAAGCTCTAAAAGACCCAGCCTTCTTCTGGTTCTAAAAAATTAATAGGTGGGTACAGAGCAACATGTAAATAAACTTTTATTAAAATAGACCTAAATTAGTTACAATTTATTAAACAGACCACATTTTCTTCCTTGCATAATAAAAGCCTTGTAATACGTAAAGAAACTTCTATTGTTGGGCAGATTACAAGTATTCCGAATCTGCATTAAGAAAACTTCATAGAAAAATATGTAAGAAACGGGTTTTTAATTTAGCCCACAACTTGCTGAGACAAAACACAATGGGATTGTGAAATTACTTCCTAATGTAAATTTTGTCAAATGTACAGGTCTCACTAACAATCCTTCTCCTATCTCATCCTCAAGAGAGAAAAGATTACCTCAGTTTTCTCATAAAGCCTAATGCCTAGGCAGTACTTAGGAAGAAAAGACGTTTCAGGAATTTCACTCAGAAGAGCAGTGTCTAAAACCACCACAATATATGTAGTTTCAACCACTATGGATTATTTGTCTATGGAAATAACAATCACATTTCAAGAAAAGATCATCTTCAGTGTGATATTCTCAAACTTTCTGAACCCAGAAACTAAGTACACCTGAAATGCAGATTGGGTACAGGTAAATAACACGTTAATTTCTTACCTTTCAAGCTCACAAGGGCTTTTGCTGAAGAACCTGCAATATATCAAAAGGTCCACATAAATCCTAAGTTATTTCACATCATACAACCTATGCACAATCTACTCATTCTTAACTAATTCTTAGTCAGAAAGTGGAATTTAAGTCTTTTACAGCTGAAAGAGTGAACCCTGTGCACCCTCCATGGCACTAAATATAGCATTGTATGTTTATTATGCAATAAATCTTGAAAGCCTATATTAATGTCCTGTTTCTGGGTTTTTTCCTTTAGTTTCACATCTACAAAACAACTTCAGATACCAAGCACTTCGCTTTAACATAACAAATTCTGAACTGGCTTTATGTATAAACAACGTACTTCCATACACCTGCTTGTTTATGTAGTTGCAAAGATAAAACTGACAAGGAAACATAATGAACAGAGTTTTAAAAACTATTATTTCTACCAATTCAAAATTCTTCAATGCCAAAAATTTCCATGAAAGCAGTAGTTTATGCTCTCTAAGCTTGGTTCACAAGCAGGGAGATTCATTGCCCCCTGCTGGAACCTGCTTATTCAGAAAGGCGGGAGATTGAAATATTATAAATGCAGATGAAATCCTTAGTTTGAGTGCTTCAAACTCTGTAATGCATCCATCAAAATTTCACTGCTCCCCTTCCACTTCATCTGCAGTGCCTCTGCAGTGCTTTTGGGCCAGGAAAGACAAATCTGGACCAGACTACTGCCTTCACGCTCTGGTATTTTCAAACGTCTCCCAAGGAATGAGCTATTTGAAACAACTGCACTAGCAGAGAGGAAAGATATTTCTGCATGACAATGCTTCCACAGATTCATGCTTTTCTCTCAAATCAATTTTTCCAGTCATGTTCCAGTGTTGTAACCACTCCTCGCATTGCATCCTCTTCTCCCTCTTACTTTCCCTGCTCCCTCTTTTAGATTATCTTTGGAACTGCTGTTCCAAGAACATTTCCAACTCCAGAGGTCTGGAAATTCCTTTTCTTGTGGCTGCCCTATATCTAGGTCCCTAACTCTACTAACTTCACAGTGCCACTTATCCTCACTTCTAAGAAGATACATTCCAAGAAACAGCCCAGAGCCAAAAAATGAAGGATTCTCCAGTTCCAGGAGAACTGAGCACTTTGGTTTGGGGTGGAATGTTGAAGAGAATACAGGTACTGCAATGGCAAAAAAAAATCCTTAAATTCCTTATTTTTTCAGCACATTATTTTGTTTGCTACCATTTCATTAGGCCATGTGTTAAAAAAAAGTTAAATAAAAAAATTGTATATCCTTTAAAAAACTTTAAAAATTTTTTAAAGATATAAAACAGAACTAGTTTTTAGTCATTGGTGGTTTAGAGGGCCTCCACCAAAGTATCTCTTAAGCTGTTCAAATCTACAACAGCTAACACATAAGAGATTACATGTCAAAAACATGGTGACAAACCTGGGCTCTGCTGTTGCCCTTCCTGCACATTTATTTTCTGACATACCACCTTTGTAGGGTTGGAGACCTAACAGTGATTGGTACAGGAATGTGCTTCTGTGACCCAATTCACAGTGAATTCAGCCCTTGTAAGCAAGCTCTGTGTTAAAGGTATCACAGGATTAAATAATTCTTTTTTGTTGAATTTCATACTAATATTCAGATACACTGTGCTTGCATAAATACAAGGATATCGTGTTATTAACCAAGGATGCAGTCCTGAAAATAACAGTAAGAACACTGAAGAACTAGTGTCCCACCCAAATTAACATACGAGATGGTGGTAAATGTGTGCAGGGATTAATAAGTATATGCAGTTTAAGAACATGGGGTAAGTACATGTCATTGGGGAAGGAGAGGCAGAAGCAGGGTGATAGGGATTGTCAAATGGAGGAGATGCTGGCTTTTCAGAATGGATCACTATTCTGAAAGATCTCGGGCACTTCATCTGTAAGACTGAACAAACTTTTGTTTTTTGACTACCTTCCTCATATGAATCGAATTCAATCAATTCAGTCATGGGCGAGTACATCAACGATGTAAGCAAAACAACTCACCAAGAGGCAGCAAGCAATCTTTCATATGGGGAGTGATGTCAATCTCATAGCTGAAATGCCTGAGATCCTTTGCTAGCCATCAAACTCAGAGGCTTCATTTGGGAGACTGATTACGGGTCAGCAGAGCATCAGAAACAACAGGTAGCGAAGTGAGGGACAGCAGAATGCTACTGCACTACCTTCTTCAGCTTTATAAGACTACCAATCCAAAACAGCATTAGATGCCTGGGACTTTTACACATGGGATAGTTATCTTCAACAGATGCAAGTTGCAAGAAATTATTAACACCAACACTTCCGTAACTTAAAGTATTAGAATACATACAGGATACCAACTGATAAAGGAGATGCCCATAAGCTTAATTTAATAAATACAATAATATGATAGATGAGTTTTCTTGTCAAGTTCTTCTGTATTGATTTTAGGAGCTACCTGCAACACCACCAAACTTTTCCGGCCCTAAAAAAAATATTTGTAAAGTATGTGCAACAAAAAAACCTGTGTGCATTTAATATGATAACAGGAAGGTCATTAATAACTAACAGTCAGAAACAAGTGTATTTATGTGTTTTATAACACTTGCAAGAAGTGATTTACAGGAGCCCACATAAAACTGAATTTGAAAAAATAAATCAACATCAAAACAACCCCACGTTTGCCAAGTCTAGCACTATAAGGCCTCTGATGTTTCCATGCTGGCTAGCTAGAAACCTGTTCAGCTCCAGCGGCTGCCAGTGCGAGCTCAGGCTGGAGGTCAGGCTGATGAACAGCTCCGCAAGTCCTCACTGTCGCTGGGAATCACTCTTCTAGCCTCAGCCTCCTTCCTCCAGCACAGGGGAACACATACAGAGGATTGCCACCAAAAGAACCTAGAAAACCTCTCTAAAAACTCTGCAAGCGATATGAACAGACTTCAAAAGAAACTGATAGTTTTTCCTCAAAAAAATATTTCTGATGTGGAGATGGGCTTTGAGGAATGGGAAAAAAACGTAAAAGTTTTTTTCCTTTTCAAAAATTAAAGTTTGGTTTAAAAAACAGTAATTGATTCCCTCATCCCATTTGAAAATACCAAACAAAGAGGTAGAATATGACTGTAATTCAGTATAGGCAGTTGTGAATGCCCTGATGTGTTTTCATATTTTCTTTGTAATAAATTTTTAACCGCTGATTACAATTTTGAATATAGAGATTACAAGTAACCAAAGGGATTTTCTACAGCTATATGTTCTATATCAATATAGAAAACTCTAGAATCCAGATAAGCAATTACATAATGTAAAACCTTTCCTCTCCAGATCATTACACTATTTTGTACACAGGTGAGGAGTTATTTTAACATTGGTTGCATGACTACCTCAAAACCCTATGTAATTAAACTACATCAATGGCACTAAAAATGCTATGAGAGAGAAAACTAAAGGAGAATAAGGGAAAAACATGAGCCTTTATCATAGACTGAGTCATTAAACCTCTGAGAGATCATTCATCTACACAAGCATGGCACAAGTTGTTTCAGTAGAGGAAGCATCTCAAACAACAGGTCACTAAACGGATAGTTTACTTGTGAAAGTTTAAAAAGCACACACTAGAGGAAAAAGTGGCTTTGGTGGCTTTTAAGGTCCTCTAAAACTTTGGGCTTGTCAAAGAGGTAAACAAACAAACAGTAACTTCAAGCATGAATCAGTATTTCCCTTATGTTACAAACGCACCAACAAATCTGTGTATTTCCAACTCCTAAATTAACTACTGAATGGAAGTCAGTTTTTCAGCCATGTTAACCCTTTTAAAGGACTTATGTATACCACAGTACCAAAATCCTCTTTTTGGAACACTGCATTCTCACAATGGACAATACGTAGATACCACGATAACATACCATTTTAGAGGTAGGCAGCAGAAGCAATCCCAAAATTATTAGTTGTGGGTACTATGTAGCAGCCATGAAACTAATCTTGAGCCTTATCTCAAATGCTGTAATCTCAGATGGTTCTGCTTTTTGCCTCAAATGTCCAGAGCAGATGGTGCTAGGCTCACAGCCCCTTTGGACTGGAAAACCTAAGTGGCAAAAGGTATGCCACATCCTTCCTCCAGTCATCCAAGCACACTAGCTACACAGGGGAAAGGTGTCTGTGAACCACAGCATAAGATTGTGCTGGAGGTAAAGATGACAATTTCTGTATGAAGTGCTGCCATTATGCTGCAGCCTCCATTCACAGGGTAGAAGGCCATACAGAAAGATCCTTGTCCCCCTTCCCATCTGCCTATCCTAAAACATAAGCTCCTGTCTTACATCTACCAACGTCAATGGTATCTACCAAAATACGATTACTGTTTTCAGCTTTTGTACTGTAAAAGATTAACAACTGAGATCACCTGTACACTCTGGCTTCTTTCTCTGACTCACCTGCCACTTCTTGCACTAGCAAGGAAAGGCTTCAACTATAAGAAACACAGGTAAACTTATGCACTGCCATCTTCTTCAGTTTTTAGGTTGTCAGTGTTAACTATCCTATCCATTTCAAAAGGACAGAATATCAGCTTTAAAGAATGAAATATTAGCAGCTTCAGCAGAAAAAGTACGTACTATGGGAGACAACAATGTGCATAGCATTTATCTTCCTCCTCGACTAAGGAATATTCACTGTCCAACTTCACTACAGAACTTGCCAGAGGGCAATACTCAGAATACTCTGGGACAAATTCCACTTAACCAGATTTCCAATTTGATAGTGAAACTGCCTAGTTCTTACACCATTATGGGAGACTCCAAAAACAATTTTGAAATGTTTAGTCTTATATCCCTTATAAATTAAGTTGCAGACTGAAAGCCAACATGAAGTCAGTGCCGTATCAGTCAGGACTAAGCTTAAAATATAAGTAGAGGGCTGTAAACGAAAGAACAATCTGTGGTGACAGTTACAGTGAAATTCAGAAACATCCAAGTGCACCAAAATTGCAAAAGATAGGAATGGAAGCACAAGACAAACCCTCTTTGA